TTTTTTTTTTTTTTTTTTTTTTTTTTTTTTTTTTTTTGCGTTCGGCCGAATTTAACCGGTCCCGGCGGCCGGTTCGGCGTTCGGCCGAATGTGACGTCGTTCGGCCCATACGCCATGTGGCGTGCGCTGATTGGCTCTTGCATTTTTTTTTTTTTTTTGCTTTTTAGTTTTGGAAAAAGAAAACTTCAGGGGGCTTTTTCGGAACCCGCGCCACCCACAAAAAAAAAAAAAAAGAAGAACTCCACGTCTGTGTCACCTTCCGGGGTTTGGCGGGGTCCGAACCTGAGGTCGTTCGGCCCCCGAACGCCCGCACGTACGGGGCTGGCCCCAGGTCCTCCCGTACGTACGGCCGGTGACTCTGTGTATATATCGTCAAACAGAGCTGCCTGGTAAACCGTAGGCAGAGAGGAAGAAGAGGGCAACAAACAAGGGGCTGCGACAAACTGTTCCGTTGGAGTTTCACCGACTCATCAGGAGGCTGAACTCTGTAAATCTAACTAATTGGTGGTGGTGATGTTCGTTGTGTGTGTGTGTGTTTGTGTGTGTGTGTGTGTGTGTCTGTGTGTGTGTGTGTGTGTGTGTGTGTGTGTGTGTGTGTGTGTGTTTGTGTGTGTGTGTCTCTCTTGAATCTGTAGACTTTTCACGGCAACGGTGGCATGGCCAGTTCCTGGAGTTGTTTCCCTTGGTATCATTCTTTCCACTCTTGGAGCCGCTCTTCAGAGTCTTTCTGGGGCACCGAGATTGCTTTCGGCGATTGCAAATGATGATATATTGCCGGTCTTGAATTTTTTCAAGGCTCCCGATGGTAGTGAGCCTCACTGGGCTACGGTGTGCACACTCTTCATCTGCATCGGCTGTGTCTGCATCGGAAACCTGGACTTGATCACACCAATCATCACCATGTTCTTCCTGCTTTGCTACTGTGGCGTGAACCTATCGTGCTTCCTTCTTGATCTGTTGGATGCACCAAGCTGGCGTCCTCGCTGGAAGATCCATCATTGGATGATTTCTTTGCTCGGTGCACTTATGTGCATATGTGAGTACACTTTCCGTCCCGCCATTGAGATGAGCCCAAAGTCTTTTTTTTTATGAAGGGGCGATGGTGTATAGATATCATCATTGAACTGCCCGTCCCCAGGCAATCCATAATGATTTTATTCTTTTCATCTGAGGGCATCTGGATTCGAACTCGGGTCTGTATTTCAACAGTTTAGGTGTGCACCAACTGAGCTAGGCCCGTTGGTGCTCACTCCTCAAACGCCCTGCGCTAAAACCCACCAGTGCTTACGGCCCTTGTGCCTTGCATGCGTGAAACCCACTCGTACTTATGACCCTTGTGCGGAGCCTAGAAACACCCTGCGAACGGAAAAACAACAAACCAGCGTGTTTCCCTTTTTGGGTGGCATCACCACCCATTCAGCTGTGGTAGGTCGTGCCCTGAAAGTCGCGGCTAGTAAACATGGCTGGGTTGGAGAAAAATGGCGGCGATAAGTTATTGGTGGTTTAAATCGAGGGAGCTCGAATGATGAAGAAGGGCAGGTAAAAATGACCGAGAACAACAGCGAAGACACCAGTGGATGTTACAAAGTGTAATACTGCACCGTTTTTCAATCTTCCACCGTGCTCCTTCCCTCCCCCCAATCCTCTCCCCGCTCCTTCCGCACCACGCCCGCCCCGCCTCGGCCCACCCAGCCCCGGCTCTCCTCACAACACCCGGCCTCACCCCTTTTCCGTGGGCCCTTGACAGGCCAATGCCTACTTGGATCAAGACGTATCAGTATGTTACTATGTTCAATCCAGAGCCTTCGCCCTTTTTTTTTTTTTTTTTTTCCTTTTTTGTCTGAACTGGGATGGTCCCACTTTTGCAGTGTCCTTGTGTGATTTCAGTGTCCCAAGGGAGGGCTGTGGAACAACTCGGGACCATCCCAGTTTCCGCCCTTTTCGAGAAATGGTCACCATTCCAGTGGAGGACGGCATCTGTATGTCTGATAACAAATGCTTTGACAGATGCTGTCGTGCACTGGAATGCTGAGCAACCATTTCCTGATTCATATGTGTCATTCTTGCACAGTGGCCTAACGGATATATAATATATAATATATATATCGTCAAATATATATATTTTGCTCACTTGCCTTGTTTCCTCTTTTTGTTGATATGTCCTGTGCTTTGCATCCTTGTTTGGCACCTTCAGTCATCATGTTCTTGATCTCTTGGGTTGTCACGATCATTGCGTTAATCCTAGCCAGCCTCATTTACTATTATGTCAGCCTCAAAGGGAAGGCAGGAGATTGGGGTGATGGGTTCAAGAGTGCGTATTTCCAGTTGGCACTGCGGAGTTTGCGTTCACTTGGAGGTATGTTGGCCTCTGATCATCATCTTGTACCCTCTTATTCCTGTTCCACACGCTCCTTGCTATTGTAGTTTATTGCACCGTACACACTTGTGTTTTTTTTGTGAACATTGTTGTCACTTCTTCTCAGCTGTAAAAAAGTCGCCCCTGAGGTGGTCACCACGTGTTTGGAGATTTTACTCCACCATGCTTTCCCACGATCACCGTCCTGCCTGTTAACTTTTTTTTTTTTTTTTTTTTTTGGGTCGTTCCTGCCTCACAAGCGTCACAACTGCTTATCGGGCAAAATTGGATTGGATCAATTTGGATGTTGACAATGACCAGTAAATAGTAAATACTAAATAGTAAATACTAAATAGTAAATACTAAATAGTAAATACTAAATTTGCTCCCCACCAATAGATGGAGCCTCTCCCTGGGGGCTAGTGGTGTCTGCTCTTACCAGCACCACTATCCCTGCAGGGGGTGTGTTTTTGTTAAAAAAAAATAAAAAAATAAAATAAAAAATTGTTCCCTGATAGAATATGTGTGCCTCCACCACTGCCACGTGCGATATGGCGTCTCTAGGTATCGCAGATTTTTAGCGGCCTGCCCCGCGGCTGGCTCAGTGTCCAATGTCCAGGGGGCACCTCATCTGGGTGCTGTTCAGAAATATATGCGGAGCGCTATGCTGCTCCTGGGTTTCTGAAATACAGCTGTTCTGTTCATTCTTACGAGTATCTCAGGCTATCCATTTTTCTGGGTTTGTTAACCTTTTTTATTTCCCGTTGTAACGGATGATATATTGCTTCTGGGTTTGTATTGGCCAAGGAACAAACAATTTACATTAAAGTTAATTAAACCACCAGTACTTTTGTCGGTTCGAAAATACTCGGCCTCCGACCTTTTTCAGGAGGCCGAAATGAAACGACGGCCGCCGATCAGATTGATCAACGTCGGGCTCGGCCTCCTGAAAGTTCGGGTACTGGCCAAGACTTGTCGAAACCGGACGCCAAAGGTACTAGTGGTTTAAAGACTTTAAAGTGGCATTTTGTTGCACACTCTCATCCTGTGGCGTGGCACTCATTGTGCACAAATTTGCAACCTCCCCGAATCCCTCCCCACCCGTATCAAATTACCAGGTCAGCAGGCTCAGCTCTGGCAGGCGAGTATCGAGATTGTGTACCGTACCTGTTAATTTAACTCAGTTTTTTAACCCAGTTTTTGTACCCAGTTTTTTGTCATGTGCAAAACATTTTTTTTCTTTTTTCTTTTTGAAAAGAAAGGGAAAAAAAACAGAAGGTATTAGACTACTGGTGCATTGTGTGTCTCAAATTCTCTCAATTCCAGTTCAAACCATTGAGTGCAGAGTGCTGACATTAGTAGGCACTGGATCTCCCTTCCAAGTGTGCACCGATGACCTCGTCTCGACGAGTGGGAATGTGATTGTTTCTTCCCCCCTCACCTTCTCTCTCTCTCACCCCCGTACATGGAGTGGTTGCTGTGGTGATTGATTCTCTTCCCTCTCTCGTTCTCGCCCCCCCGATACGTAACGGAGGGGTTCCTGCGGCGATTGTTTAAAGCACACGTCCGGAACGAGACTCGACCGGTGAAATATTACCTACCAGTCTGAGGAGTTGCGCATTAGATTCAAATTGGCCTTGTAGTAGTTGTATAGCAACACAGCCACCACTTGTTTTTTCTGGACAAGTGGTTTCTGAGTCTGACTTGTTATTATTGAGTTTGTGTGCCCTACCTGTAGTTTAAAACCCCTTAACCCAGTCAAATGCAGCTTTCAATCATGTACGAAACGTATGTTTTTTTTCTTTTTCTTTTCTTTTCTTTTGAAAAAAAAAAGGAAAAACAGATACGGTATTAGTGCATCGTGTGTCTCAGATTCTCTCAATTCCTGTTCAGACAATTGAGTGCTGACTTGCCAACCGTAGGAGGCGGTGGATCTCCCTACCGACTTTCAAGTGTGCTCCCATGAGCTCGTTACGGCGCCTTGTCTCGATGAGTGGGAATGCGATTGTTTCTCCTCCCCCAGCTCCCCCCCTCCCTCCTCTCTCTCTCTCTCACCCCCATACACGAAGTGGTTGCTTTGTGTGTGTGTGTGTGTGTGTGTTTTAACAAACCAAGGTCCTATTCCTGGGGGCAGCAGTCTTGTTGCACGTCTTTCGGCGCTGAGCGTATGGAGGAAGTAACTACTACCCAGCATACGGCATTCGGTGTGGTGAATCTCGTGATCCATTGACTGTTCGTCACGTGCTCGGTGTTTTCAACTTTTTGTCTATTTGCAGCTAAACAAGTTCACCCGAAGAATTGGTACCCAATCCCTGTCATATTCTGCAAGCCATGGAACATCCTCCCCAACGATGTCCCCTGCCATCCAAAGCTCGCGGACTTTGCGATTTGCATGAAGAAGAAAGGTCGAGGAATGTCTATATTCGTGACTGTGATGGAGGGAGATTTTGAAATGAAGGCGGAGGAAGCAAGGCAGGCTCAGCAGCGACTGAACACGTTTATAGAGTACAAGAAATGTGAGGGTGTTGCGGAGGTTGTAACTGCACCAAAGGTAAAGGATGGCTTCCGGGCGATTGTTCAGGTTATGGGTCTGGGCAATTTGAAGCCGAACATTGTGTGCATGCGTTATCCGGAAGTGTGGCGAGAGCCACACCTCGACGAGGTACCGGACACCTTTGTTAGCATCATCAAGGACTGTAATACTGCCAACAAGGCGTGCGTTATCGTCAAGGGTCTCGACAACTGGCCAGCGGAGTACGAGAAACAGTACGGGACTGTAGATTTATACTGGATTGTGAGAGATGGCGGTCTTATCCTGTTGCTGTCGCAGCTGCTCCGAGCGAAGGCGATCTTCGAGAACTGCAAACTGCAGGTGTTCTGCATTGCTGAGGAAGACTCTGAAGCTGAGGAACTGAAGGCGGATGCCAAGAAGTTTCTGTACGATCTTCGCATGCAAGCGGATGTGATCGTCGTGACGACCAAGTCTTGGGACGATAACAAGGACGCCTCTTTCCGGAAAGAAGACGCCTTGGAGGCATTTGACAAGGCAAGGGCACGTATCATTGCCCGATCGTCGTCAGACGAGTGGGAGGATGGGACGGGCGGCCTGCCAGAATTCAATGTCGATGAAGAAAGCGTGAAGAAATTCCTCTACACTACTCTCAAGCTGAACCAGATCATGCTTCGGTACTCGAAGGTGGCCGCCCTGGTTATGATAAGCTTGCCCCCCCCTCCTGCCAACCATCCAGCGTACTGCTACATGGAGTACATCGATTTGTTAGTGCATGACATTCCTCGCCTGCTGATGGTTCGCGGCTACCAGAGAGACGTCGTTACGATATACTCGTAGTCTTTTTTCCGAGAGCGCAGCGGAGGAGGGGTCTCTTTGTCATTAGAGGAAGGCGAGAATGGTGCGTGCTGGGAACGGAACTCGCGTCGCTGAGTGATGCTCTCCTTTTCCAGGTGGGTCAGCAGTGGAAGAATCGTCGTAGAGAAGCAGCATCAGCTGCAGATCATGTCAGGCAGCAGTCGATCGGCAGGCTGGGAGTCCTCTGCGGGAGAGTGAGTGGCAGTTTACTCAGCAGGTTAAGTGAGTTGACAGTAGATGACTTTTTTTTTCCGGACTGTGAATTCCGCAAGTGTGCTTGGCTGCGATAGGGCGAGACTTGCTGCGTCTGACATGCGGGGCAACAGCAGCTAATCAACAGGTTGATCTGTTCTGTTGTTGCCGTGTCCACAGAAGCCTCTCAATTGTTTTACGGTTCTTTGCCGATCTCTTCGGTTTCTTTATTCTCCTTGGTTGTCTCTCGGCTTCTCTGACATGAAATAAAAGCTGTGTGGTTTGGTAGCGTGAAGGATCGGGATGGGTGTATCTATCTCAAGACGAGAATGATCGACAGGCTGGTGTTGGGTGAAGGACTGCAACAAGCTGGTGTTGGGTGAAGGACAGCATGGGGTCTACTGATGGGTTCAGGTCTACTGATGGGATGGACTCTCTTTCTTCTGGTTGGTCGAGATTTGATCCTGGAATGTCTCTCTGCTCCTCTGTCATAAAATAAGCTCTGTGTTGGTTGCCAAGTGTCGAATGGAGTTTCGGTGAATGGGGTTTTGGTAGGGGGAAAAGGATCAGGATACCAACGGACCTAGCTCAGTTGGCACACCCACGAATTGAAATATGAATCAGACCCAAGTTCGAATCCAGATACAATCAGATGACCGGAATGAAATCATTCTGAATTACCTGGGGCTGGTCAGTTCAATGATGATATCTCAAGGGTCGTCGCCCTTTTTCAAACAAACAAACAAAAAAGGGTGAAGGATAATGATGGGTGTATCTCAAGACGAGAATGATCGACGGGCTGGTGTTGGGTGAAGGTCGGCATGGGGTCTATTGATGGCTCGCCCTATTTTTGCAGGTATTGGATGGATAGACCCTCATCGGGTTGGTCTACATTTGTTCCTGGGACGATCCACTTCTGTTCCAAAAGCAGATGCCAGGAATGGAAATGGACTGTGCCTGGCTGGCACCTTAGGTTTGAACCTTTTTTTTTTTTTTTTTTTTTTTTTTTTTTAGGTTTGAACATAGGCGAGCAGGAAAAGGGAAAAACTTCAGAAGAGAAGAGCGCATGCAATAAAATCACAATGTCTTTTTTTCTTTTTCTTTTTCTCTCCAGTTTGAGAAGTGACATTCCTTGTCGGTCGTTGGTTTCAAATTTCAATTGAGGAGGATTTGATTTTGATGTCCTCAAGACACACATCGCAGCAGGTACGCAACTCGTATCCACTTGGTTCAATGAAAGCCCAAAAAAGACCACACACATTGGACTCTTTCACAAGCATTTGGGTATATTGAGCACTACAGATTCGGTGTAGAATCGCCCAGTTCTCGTATCCCATCGATCTCCAGTCACGACTTCCGACTTTTTTTCCAAGTTTGTTTTCTTAACCAGAACTTTGTCTGCTTGTGATATCGTCAGATCGTGTAAACTGTCTGAGGCGCGATGTGGGGGGGCCGGGGCGGGTGCCCGTCGGATAACTAACTACTACCCACGCCGTACGACTGTACTGTTCCAAACTTCCAATTAGGAGTCGATTGAACTGATATGTCAGAAGAATAAAAAGGTGCGTCGTTCTTTTTTTTTTTCCGCCTGTTGTTTGGTCATGCTACAACCTTGACGGTCGCCAAATTCATGAAAATAATTGCTCTCATGTTCAGCGGCTTCAGCCAGAGTTGTGCACTTTTTTTTTCTTTCATACTACAGTATGGAATGTTTGCAACTGGGGTGAAGTAAAACGAGTTTGTGGGGATGGCTGTGGGGAGGAACGCTGGTAAAGATACTGTGGAAAAAAAAAAAAAAAAAAAAAAAAAAAAAAAAAAAGGATCCTGGTGCGGTACAACAGTGGGCAGGGGATGATGGCACTTTATGAAAGTAGAGAATTGTAGTGAATAGCAATAAAAAAGCTTGGGAACATGTGTGCATGGGCAACATATGCGCAATCCAGAGGTTTTCAAACTGACCAGAGGTGTGTGTGTGGGGGGAGGGGGGAGAGGAGAGAGGAGAGAGGAGAGAGGGGGGGGATAGGTGACTCTGTGTGTGTGTGTGTGTGTGTGTGTGTGTGTGTGTGTTTGTGTGTGTGTGTGTGTGTGTGCACGTGTACACATGTAAGACATCCTCAGTACAGAGACTGTGCACCATATCAGCACAATACTTCCGCGAGGAAGCACACAACTGAGTCGAGTCAATGGACAATCTCAAACTGAGCAGAGGTGTGTGTGTAGAGAGGAAGGGGGGGGGGGGGGGGGGAGGATATGTGGCTGTGTGTGTATGTGTGAGATGTGTGTGAAATCACATGCAAGACATCCTCAGTACAGAGACTGTGCACCAGGGGCAAACACGCAACTGAGTTGCGCGAGTCAAGTAAATGGACAATACCAAGGTAACGGCAGCAAACCCAAAAGGACAGGGAAGATGAGTACAAGAAAGAGCCAAAGAAAGGAAAACCTGACGACGAAAATTTGTTTTGCAAGTCTGACTCGTCACGAGGCTGAACCGTCGAGTATCTGAGGAATCTTCGTATTGATGATTTTGGATGATGACACCGTTAAGTCCTTGACCCTTGCTGAACACAGACTACCTGCAAGCGACAACACAAGTGGAAAATAGCAGCAGGCAACGACTCAGCGAAGCACCAGGCAACGCTGCCGGGCCAACCCAACTCCACAACACCAAAGCGAACAGCATGGAATGCCAGCGCAAGTGGATGGGCAGCACAGCAACGGTGTAGTAAAGCACGAGGCAACGCCAATGAAGCCAACCCAACTCCACAACATGGCATACAAGCAAAGAGCATGAAAAGGCAAGGAAAGCAGATTGGCGGCAAGGCAACAGCACAGCGAAGCACAAGGCAACACCAACAAAGAAACCAGACTGCACTGGAAACACACCCGCTACAGCAGAGAATGACATGGGAGGCAAGCGGGATGGGCAGCAAGGCAATGGTGGAGCCCCCCACAATGGTGGAGTCCACACCTTCAACACGGAGCAAAGCCATTCAAGACCTGCTTACACTGCTAGAAGAACCCCGCCCCGCAGACCGCTGGTTCCCACCACGGCAAGCGGGAAGAACTCCGCAGACCGTTGGTTCCCACCACGGTGGAGGTGAGAAGACGGAGGATGACAAACAGCAGCAAGGGACAAAGGCTGGAGGGCCACGGGGGAGGTGGACGACACACAAGTATACCAAGCAAACGACACAAAAGCACGCCAAAGCAAACGACACACAAGCACACCAAAGCAGATGACACACGAGCACAGCAAACAGACAAAGCAGATGACACACAAGCACACCAAGCAATCGACACACACTAGCACACCAAGCAGATGACACACAAGCACAGTAAACAGACCAAGCAGATGACACACAAGCACACCAAGCAAATGACCCACAAGCACACCAAACATACCAATCAGATGACGCAGAAGCACAACAAACAGACAAACCAAAGAAAACACAAGTCTATGAAATTTTGGGCTGAAAAAAAATAAAACTGATGATAGATTGTTTCATCGGAGTTGTACCGACTCATCAGCAGGCTGAACCCTCGAGAATCTGCGGAAAATCCATATTGATGGTTTGGGTCATGAACCCGTTCACCCATGTTGACGGCAGACTGTCCCCAAGCGAAACATAGCACGGGCCAGCAACTGAGCGAAGAACCAGGCAAAGCTGCCAAGGCAACACAACTGCACTGCGCCGAAAACAACCGGGCAAGCGGACAAGCATTACGGCGACTGCGGAGCGCAGCATAAGGCAACACTGACACAGGACTGAAACTACACGGCATACAGCCAAAAGAGGTGGAAGGAATTGCACGTGGATGGGCGGCAGGGCAGTGACGCACAAGGCAACACCACACCGCAGCATACAAAGGACCAAATGCCAAGCAAGCTGGACGGGAAGCAAGGCAGCGGTGGAGCGCAGAGGAGGCAGTCCATGCATCCAACACGGAGCAAAGCGGCTCGTCACCTACTTACGTCATGATTGATCCCTGCGGACTTTTGGTTCCCACCACCTGTAGAGCCACAGTGGTACTCCAACGGATGTCTACCATCCACCCACTGACCATACGCATCACAGACGTCACAGGCAGAGCGTCCCCCCCAAGAGTCCTGCAGGCACTCCAAATCACTAACTACCGACTGTTTAGCACTCCTAAGACCACCAGTACATGCCAGCCATCGGCTGCGGGCCTCTTTCGGAGGCCGCCCCCCTCCAATTTATTTTATCAATGGCGTGGGAGAAGTTTTAAGAGAGGCTCAATCGCACTCTCAACTTGGCTGGGGACATGTACTGGTGCTTTAAAGGTGCTCACGCAGGCATACAAAAGGTAAGAAAAAATCAACTTGAAAGAAAGAAGAAATACACATATAAGTGTGTGTGTGTGTGTGTTTGTGTGTGCGTGTGTGTGTGTGTGTGTGTGTGTGTGTGTGTGTGTGTGTGTGTGTGTGTGCGTGCGGTCGATTGAATCCATAGCATACCATGTTATGCCTGCAACCTGATCCGCTATCCATCTAATAATGTTCACCACATCCCATTGGCCCCATTTATTTTATATAGAATAGACAATAAATATAGAATAGTAAAATATATGTACCAAAATAACCAAGTCAATCCTGGAAGACGAATTCGGACGTACACAATGATACATCCAATTTCTTCGCGACCAATTCAAGCAATGAAAACTCACTTCCGGCCCTTTCCGACAGTTCTAGAGTATGGAGAACGGTTTTCAACATCGATAAAGTCCGACAATATCGAACGTGGAAACAAACATCAAAGGAGAGTTTGCACAACCGGCAAACAGCACAGAAAGAAGATTGGAAATGGCAAATATGGTACGAAAGAGTGCGAGGAATCGTTCATCAGCTTCTTATAAAACTCATGCCAAAATCGCAAGTCGAGAGAAGCAATCGCCCTCTGAAAAAAGAAGAAGCTGCGTATTACATATATTGCACCATGAGGCTGCATATTGTATATATATTGCACCAAGAAGCTGCGTATTATATAATATTGCACCCGATAGTAGCCAAGAAGGCCGTGTGCAAGTACAAACCCAAGCAGAACCCTCTAGAAATCACCGATCGGGACGTCGTCAATAGATGGCGCAAACTCGTCTGTAACCCTGTCATTTATTTTATTTTTTATTTATTTTTTTTCCTGTCATCGTATGACCCAAGAGTTCTCTTATGCTTTTTTAAATTTTTAAAATTTTTTCTCTTTCTTTCAATTTTTTAAATTTTGGACCATCTCTCGATTTATGCTAGAGCCTAGCTCAGTGGGGACCACACCCATGAACTGTTGAAATACAGAGCAGAGTTCAAATCCAGATGATGGTCCTGGGTGAGTACAACCAAGTATTTCTGAATTGCCTGGGCCCGATCAGCTCAATGACGATATCTCCAGGCCGTCACCCTTAAAAAAAAAAAAAAAAAAATGCTTGTCATCCTTGCGCAGGTGCCATGCTAATCTTGCTTCCTTCTCTGTATCGTTCCAATTTTAACAGATGTCCCCCAAGGACGGTATGCAATTTTTCATTGCGATAATCGAGCCTCAGCCAAGACGACAATCTCCCAGTCCTTTGCTACACAGTAGGACGACCAGCTCGTACAGATACACCAGAAGGAGGGACTGATGAGGAAAAAACTGAAGAGACTATAGAGAACTGGGCAGTGCAAGATGCTGGCAAAGTTGACACCAAAACGAACTCTCGCTCAGAAGGGACCCAGAGTCTGTGCGATGCTTGCCACTCTCGTGCATCCAGGGATATGGCATCATGTGAGGAGGTGGCGAGGTGGTGGCGAGGTTGGGAATCCCCTAAACCACCAGTACATGGCCCCAGCCAACTGAAGAATCCAATTGTGCCTCTCCTAAAATTCTGGAGGCTCGTGGGACAGGGTGTCCGAAGGCCCAGTAGAAAAAGAAAATATCCCGTGCTGTGGGCTGGCACTAGGCGCAGGCCGCCCAGCCCTGGATTGAAAAGAAACAAAAAAAATCGCTCCCCCCCAGGTGGGCACTGTCTCGAGTTCCCTAACTTTTCAGAGAGGCTCATTCGGACTCTACTGGTGGTTTAAAGCACCAGTACACCACATATCTGCCCGCGGCCCGCGGGTGACTGGATGAAACCCGCACCACTTCGGAGGCCGCCGATTTGTTTTTTTCAACGGCGGGCCTGGCCGCGCGGCGCCTGCGAGTTTTGCTCGTGGTGACAAAAACTTTCTGCAAGGCTGGGGCTGAGTACTTGCGGTTTAAG